GGGGGCTGATGTCAAAGTCCACCCTGTAGTGTCAGAGCCCCATGTGGGTGCTGGATCATGTTCTGGCTGCCCCACTTCCCACCCAGCTCCCTGCTTGTGGCCTGAGAAGGCGGTGGGGAACGGCCCAAAGCCTTGGGACCCTGCACCTGCGTGGGAGATCCAGGAGAGGTTCCTGGCTCCTGACTCCCAGCTCTTGCCTTCAGATCAACTCAATTGTGGTTGTTGTGACCATTTGGGGAGCGAACCAGAGGATGGAATAACTTTTCTCTGTCTCTTTCTCTCTGTAAATCTACCTTTCAAAGAAAACTGAAAGAAATATTTTGTAAAAAAAATTAAAAATTCACAAAATACAATTATCCAAACAATGAACAAGAAACTGTCAGTCTGGAGTTTTAACTAAAAACTGCATGGAAATGCAACTTAACCCTAGCTGTAGGCAACTGCCTAGGTTGCCTTGTACCTAGGTGAGTCTTACACTGCTGGCAGAAAAGCAGCCAACAGCTGGCAGACACTGGGCCAGGTTAATGCCAAATTTGTGTTAACCATACCAGTGTGCCAGCATAGTTGCTAAGTCTTTTTCTTTCTTTTTCTTTTCTTTTTTTTTTTTTTTTTGGATGACCAGATCATTGCACTTTCAGGTAAATGGGGCGGAAACTGGAGGACTTTTCTAGCTCAGACCAATATACCCGCCCATGTGGGAGTCGTGAGCTGGGCTAGTTGGCATTGCCCACTGTCCACTGGTGCACATGAAAGCTAGGGCTAGGAGGCCTGCCTGGTACCCACCAGCGAGTGTCAGGGCAGGGGGTGGACCAAGTTAGGCTGGGCCATGACTCTAACTGGCAAAGGGTCTGTGGGCAGATTCTGGGGGGGATTTGTGGGTTCACCCCATGGAACTACAATACCCTCTGGTTTGCTCAACAGCTGGGGGTGGTGATGGGCTGAGCTAGGCACAACCATAGAACTAGGTTCCCTTCCACCGCCCACCATTTACACCGGATCTCGCCACGCTGGAAGCTCCTGAATGTGGCATTTCTCAGGGTTTCAATATTTCTTCCCATTACACTAAGCACTTCCGTTTTCAGACTACCTAAATGACCCACATTCTTCTCTAAGGCGAACACAGCGCCCCGGTCGATTGCAGATGAATTTGGGCAGATTTCTAAGTTCCTCTGCCTTCTTCTGACTCAGAAAGGAACGCACCCCTTCAGTTTCGCCAAGTTTCCGGCCCTTCCTCTGGGCGGTTGCAAACGCCTCCCTTGGTAAGGAAGACACGAGCCTTGTCAACCTCGTTACTGCTTTTCCTTCTCGCCTTCCAAGAGCCTCTCTCCTCTCCCCTCTGCGCTCTCTGGCTCGGCTGCAGCGGCTGCGGTGCCCTCTCCGGGAGCTGCCAAGGACAAACCGAGGACGCGCGCAGCGGGCTGAGCCGCCCAGGAGGCACCGGAGGCGAGGCGGACTCCGAAGAGAAGGGGCGGGCGGCGTTTCTGATTGCGCAGCCCCGCGGCAAGCGCCGCCTTCCCCACCCCCCACCCCGGCGTGCTTTAAGATTGCAAGGTGCATGCACGCGCGCTCATCATCATCTGTGTCTTTTAATTCAAGGCTCTGAGCCGTCCGGAGGCATTACAGCCAAAATGGGAGAAACGCGCTCTGGCTGAATATATCAAGAATCTGCAACCCCCCCCTCTCTCTCGTTCCCCGGAACTGGCCTAGGGAGGAGGGTCGGCCAGAGCTCAGCTAGCCGTGCAGCTTGGGGCTGCAGTGTGGCTACCACCTGCAGGCTGTCAACTAGCGAGCTGTGGGTACATTTACCCCTGGAAATCTTGGTCCCAGAGCTACCGTGCCCCAGCCGCCTCCACGCGCTGCAGCCCTGCCCCATGCGGCGGGTTCCGCGTGGAGCCCAGGAGGACTCTCTTCCTAGGGAACCCACGGGCCTGCGTGAGGACCGGGGGTTCCTCCAGGATCTACTGAGTTCTCCCAGGGTGCGATTTCCGGAGGAGGAGCGGCCTTTTCTTTACCCCCAGCCTCGTCCTTTCTCCTTCAAGAAGCGAGCAGAGTCCGGTCTACTGAGGGAGGAGGAGGAGGAAGCTGGTTGGTAATCGAGCCAAGGCAACACAGCACGGATTCGCGGGAGATCCTTCAAGGCGGGGCCACAGTTTGCTTTGCAGCTCCCACCTGCAGAAGGACTGGGAGCAGCTTGCCATGTGTGGCTCTGTGAGGGCTGGGAGAGCACCTGCAGGGCTTTGCATGGTGCCCACACCACCTGGGGACCCCAGCACTTCCATTCCAAGGAAGGGCTAAACGTTTGCTTGTGTTGCTGAGGACACGGAGGACGCTCAGCCTGGACGCCCTGGCTGTGAGGAGGGGACCGGCTGGTGAAGTCCCTCTTCGTGGCTGCAGCCTGGGGCTCTGTGGTAGGGAAGGGAGGAATACCCAGCGCCAGCTGTGGGGATCTCCTTCCTACCTCCTGTCTGCCAGGCTCCTGAACCTGGTTTGGTCGGGGTGCATCTCTGGGAGGCGCAGGAAGGGGGCGTCTCCCAGGGGCCCCTCCATCTCACATCCCGCCCCCTCGCTGCCTGCCGGCTGCCTGTCCAGCAGCAGCTGGGAGGAGTCTGCCACCCAGGGTTCCCACCAGCCTAGAACTATGTCCTGTGGACCAGGGATATCCTGGAGCGGCCCCAGCGCAGCCTCCGAAGTTCGCTTAGCCACAGGGCTGCAGATAAAGGGGGAACTGGGGAATGGATCTACTTCCTGGGTTCTCGGCTGTCTGCTCAAAGCAACCACACGCATGGTGCCAGCTCTCCTGTCCCACCACTGCCCTCTCAAAGCATGGCCCTGTATTTGGTTTAAGCCAGATGAGCCCGCCACTCGGAAGGGCTGGAGAATTTATTATTTTTCAAAATGGAGACTACGGCATTGACCTCCAAAGGCCCCTCCCACCACGCTGGGCCGTCATCAGGACACACAGGCGGCCTTTCACAGGTGGAGCCACTTACTTCTGCAGTGCTCCCGGGCAGGGAGGCCGTCCGTGGAATCCGCCGCTCACTACTGCATGGGGATGCTGAGACGGCAACTCATCTCTTCCCTAGTAACAGAAGCGACCTTAAGCTCGGAACTGAGACCAAGGGGATATGTTCAAGGTCTGTTTATCTGACAGAATGTCAGAGCCAGAGAAGGGGACGAGATGTTCCATCCAGGAGTGGTTCACTGCTCAAATGGTGGCAGATCAGGTCTGGGACTGGGCCAAACCCAAACCAGGAGCCCGGAATTTCATCCTACAGGGCCCCTGCCCTTGGGCTATTGTCTGCTGGCTTCCCAGGCGCTGTGGCGGGACTGTGGGGGCAGAAAGGGGGACAGCCCCCGAAGTGGAATGCTGGCAAGCACCGGCTTCCCGCACCGGGCCACCATGCTGGCTCCAGAGTGGCCCAGAGCGGGCCAGCCCCGAGGTGACGCCACTGGATGCTTCAGTCCTGGTGCACGTGTGGTCAGAGCGAGCAGTTAACGCTCGTGGATTTGGGGACGGAAGACGCACGTATGTTTTCCTTCGTGTCCCGTTGTCACGCTGAAAGGAGAGCAAAGGAGCAAAGGAGCGAACGACCTCTCTCTTCCTGAATGTCAGAGGTCAACGGAGCGAGGGTTCAGTGGAGTCCGTTCCTTTCCCTCCTTCCTCTTCCCACCAGTAAGGGAACGGCCTGCAGGAGAGCAGGCAGGCAGCCTTCTGGTAAACCCCGGGCAGCTGCAGGGAACCTAAGGCTTAGAGCCTGAGCGTAGGGATCTGAACCTGCCAGGCAACTTGCTGTGTTCCCATGCCCTCCTCTAGGGCCTACCAGACAGCATCAACTCTGCTGAGCAGTGAGCTAAGCATCTTTTTTTTTTTTAAATACGTTGTTTTTTTTGAAAGGCAGATTTTTACAGAAAGAGAAGGAAAGCCAGAAAGAGAGGTTTTTCCATTCACTGGTTCACTCTCCAAATGGTTGCTAACAGCCAGAGCTGAGCTGATCCAAAGCCAGGAGCCAGGAGCCTCTTCTGTGTCTCCCACGTGGGTGCAGGGTCCCAAGGCTTTGGTCTACCCTCCACTGCCCTCCCAGGCCACAAGCAGAGCTGGATGGGAAGTGGAGCAGCTGGGACTTGAACTGGCGCCCATATGGGACACTGACACCACAGATCAGATAATTAGTACGCTATGCTACTGTGCTTGCCCTTCTGAAGTTCTTTTCGTGACGCAAGGATCAAAATAAGACTGGACAAGTGCAAAGCTCTCCTGCTCATAAACCTCAGCAGGAGGGATGCCCGGTGTGTGCTCTGGGCTCTGGATCACTTACCGGGCTCTACAGGCTGCTTCCCAGGCGAAGCTCCCCGTGGCTGTGTGTGTAACCTTCAGCCTGCTGCAGGGCTCCGGGAACGCCCGCCTCTTCTCAGGGACCAGGCACGGGTCTCCCTCCACACGTGGAGTTGATGGCGACACTGCGGGCACCGGAGGAAGGAAGCTTGGGGGGGGCCTGTCACCTCCTGGAACCGCGTTCCTCAAGGTCTAGAAACTGGCTATAAATACCTTCGGGAATCGCTTCCTTACAGAGCACTGGGGAAAACACACGCCAACTCTCTTTTTTTTCCCCTTAACAAATCAAAGGTTTACTTTGCCTGGTAACAGAAAGCCATCATTATCACCTCCCAGCGGTGCACGGAGGCTGGGGAGGTCCACGGGCGGGGCGAGGCTGCCACCTGGCGGTCAGCGCGCGCGGCATCAGGCGCTCAGCCTCCTTGCCAATCAGGGGCTGGCGAGCAGCGAGCCAACAGCCTCAGAACAGCCCTTCCCACGGAGAGGCCGGTGCTTCTAAAAATGGCCCCGCACACGCAAGAAAAAAACAAAACAAAACAAAACAATCGCAGCTCAGCATTTACGGCGTGACCTGGCAAAGGATTCCTTCTCTACCCACTCAATTCTGGGTACCAGGTGTACTGAAGGCTGCAGTTTTAAGATACAAAAACAAAACAAAACACTTGACTGTAGGAAAAAAAAAGTTTATTTTACACATACTTGTCTACAAAAGGCGTCACTACTTCACGGCAAGCACGCCACGCTGGCGTTCTGCAAGGTGCTGGGGAGCCCCAAATCTTCAGGGCGCTGGGCTTCACGCAGCTTTTTTCATGGCCGCCTGTGTCATGCTGAAGAGATAGGCTTCGTAGATTATATTTAAGAAGTTGTCATCGTTCTGGAAAACAAAATGAAGAGATCTGAGGGGATGCAACTGATGGCCGGCGACTGATGGCAGGTGCCAAGAGATGGGAGTACCATCCTGCCCTCGCGTCTGCATGGGGCGGCTGCCATATGCTGAAGGCCAGGCCTGGCAGAGCCGGCTGTGTTCCTGGGTGAGTGTGTGTGTGTGTGTAAGTGTAAGTGCTTGCTACACACACCGGGCTGTCCAGGCCCGGGGCTCCGCAGGCCATGCTGTTGGCAGGCAGGTAGAGCCGGAGGAAGTGACCTGGGTCAGCAGCTGGGAGGCGTGTGGTCGGCCCCAGTGTGTGTGTTGTGTTTAGGCCCTGGCTGGGATTTCACGCGCAGGACGCCAGAGCCTCAGTGCTGCTCCTCCTGGGAGGCCGGATGGGCTCTCGTGCCTGGCTGGAGCCACGGGAGAGGGGCTCACGGGCTCAGCCGTGGTTTCTTTTGTCCCTTCTTCGCAGTTTGTCCCCTTCCACACCAACAGGTGAAGGTGACTCAGACATAATGCAAGTATGATCATGCAATATCCATTTTTCCTTGCTGGATCACTTCACTCGCACCCTGAGCCCACCAACGCGGTAAAGGGTGAGCCCTGGCCAGCTCACCCTGGTGCTGCAGGGCTTTGGCAAGGATCCCCAACACTGTCCTAAAACCCAGCTCTCAGAAAGTCCCTGGACTATGCCAGCCAAGGGCTCCGAAGTCCGTGCGCCATAGGTGAGGCCCATGGCTTATCTGGGGCATGTTCTGTGAGGACGCACCCAGGGCAGTGTGCTAGCAGGAACCCCCAGGGATGCCATTCTGCCATCCTCATTTGCTGGTGGCTGGTCGCCGTGTGCCATTGGGAAATGGGGTGCAGCGAGGCACAGCAGACCATGTGTGGCACAGAGCTGACCTAAGTGCAGCTGTTGTTGCCACAGCTGTCAGAGACCAGGGCAGCCGACTCAGGCACCATCTTCAGCCCAACCCATCCTGATGAGCAGGCTACAACATCTGGAAAACCTGCTTTGGGCAGTCACAGCGTGCCCTGCTTCTCTACTTGTTTCCTACCGTCAGTCTGCTGGGACGCTGCTGAGCAGCCTGTCACCTGACTATGACTTTGGTTGACCGGGGACACTTGTGGCTCCTGTTCCTCATGGTGACTGCAACCGTCTCCTGACAGCTGACAGCCCTCCAAGCCACCTGCTCCTTGCAGAGTTGAGGCATGCACAGCCCAGCCAGCTGCACCCTGGGTAGCATTTTGCTGACCAGGCTGTGAGGCCGGGGAGGCTGTGCAGCTCCACCCAACTGCGTGGTGAGGACCAGCTTGGTGGCCAGTGGCCTGAAGCTCACAGTCAGTTACAACCAGGAGCAGCAAGGGACACGCCCCTTACCTGAATGAGGTACAGCAGAGCCTCCTGAAGTTGTAGCTTGGTGAGCGGGCTGCTGGAGCTCACCAGGGGCTCTGGATTCTGCAGGGGAACCAGGAGGCCGCTGGACGTGGCAGGCGGGTCGGGGCCTCCCAGGGCCAAGAGCCTATTGTCCCTCTCCTTGGGCGGGGTGGAGGTGCAGTGTGTGAACACCGTGGGGGCCAGGAGCAGGGCAGGCGGCACGGCGGCAGGACTGTGCGGAGGCGAGGCGACCTGCTGATGACACACACACACACACACACAAAGCTTGTGGTAAAGAGTGGCTCTGCACAAGGGGACTAAGGGGGCAGCTCACTTTCGGGTGCACTGTCCCCTGCTCCACCCCGCATGGAACGCTCATCCCCCCAAGCCCCCTGGGAGCCCAAGGACTTCGCGTGGCATTTTCTGCTGTCGCTCCCATCAGTGCTGGGTGAGCAGGCACTAAGGCCTGCCGGGGTGGGGAAGGGCACCTGCCAACTGTACCCAGGCAGGCACGGCTGTGAGACAAGCCCTGCTCTTCCTCTGCTCCTCCCCTGTTCTGTCCTTTTTCCGATGGGGCTGGCTGGCACCCCCACATCTCCAGGCTTAGGAGTGGGGACAGGACCGACATGGCACGGCAGTGCAGGGGACACATCTGTCTGGCTGACAGTCTTAAGAATAAGCTCTCCCGTGACTGCCTCCGGGATGCGGGCTCCCATGGGGCTGGTTCTAACCCAGGGACCACTGCTGTCAACCTGCCTCCTCAGATCCCCAGAGGGCCTGCCACCAGGGGCCCCGAGGGTCCCGAGGGCCGGCAGCATCCAGGCTCCCGGGAGGAGCTGCACCTGCCGTGGTCCTGGCTGCCATGGTGAGGGGGAGGTACGAACAGAGTGAATGCTCCGGGGAGAAGTGGCAGCGGCGACAGGAGCAGAGTGTGGGCTGCAAAAATGTACACTTGCCTTACTTGGCTCTTGACATTTCTGAGTGCTGGGAAAGAGAATTATGCATGCAGAAATTTAAGTTAAACTATTAACCCCAACTTTCTAACAGGAAAGGGGGGAAAAAAAAAAGAAAAAAAAATGACTCTTCAAGAGGGCACACAGTTCCCTGGAGAGGATGAGGCCGAGTTCCAGATTCAAGACTCACAAACAAGGGAGGGTGCTCTTGACTCAAGGCCTCGTTTCTCATGGATTTGCACAGCCTGTCGGGAGGCAAGATTTCCAAGGGTTGCGAGGGACGTGGCAAGAATGCTTCCTATGAAGTTAACTGGGGAGCACTTCCTAATTGTGAAACTCGAGGTATGGTTGATGGAGACGCCAGTCCAAAGGGGAAGCCATTCTAAGCCAGATGGCAGGTGCTGCCCGTGGGCCGGGCTGGCATCACTTGCCGTTGCCCTGCTGGCCCAGGGTCTTGCTGGACACGGACCATCCTTTGCCCCAAAGGGCAGAATTTAAAAACAGACAGTGTCGTTCCTCTCCGGCTGCCTGTGCACAGGGAGGGGAGGTGGGGGGCACGAGCCCCCTCTCCTGATCTTAATGAAGCTGTACTGATACCCAGGCCAAACACGCATGCGGCTGGGCCAGGGAGGCGTTCTTGGGTTTCCCGGCTTCCTTCAGGAACCTCCCCGCCGGCTGGCCGTGCGCGGGGAGGGGATTTTCTGCATCATGGTACAGCACAATGCCTGGCCTGCAGGAAGTGCTCAAAATATTTACTCAGTCAGTGAATAAAAGGCCATCTCTGTGGATGGAGGAAACAAGGTGGCAGATGTCTGCTGTCTCCCAGGACGACTTCAAAGCAGAGCCACCACGTTCCCAGTGTCACAGCTCAGGCTGTTTGCCACGTGCACACTGCTCTTCAGACTTGGGAACGCCAGGGAAGCCACAAGGCCACAAATACACTCTCCGACGGCCTGCAGGCTATGGCTTTGGGCAGCTCCCAGATTGCTAAGCAACGTGACCATCCTTCCCCAAGGCAGAAAGTCAAGGCCGATGGGGGCTCTCCTGAGCTCAACAGAAACGTGTGCGACATGTGGTTCCGAAGGCACCTTAGGGCAGTCTAAATTTTACTGCAGGAGCAAGAGTTTGGCCTGGAGGCTGGCATGGGTGCCCCACTTGGGAGCGCCTGGGTTTGAGTAGAGGCCCCTGCTCCTGTCTGCTGACGCCCCGGGAGGCAGTAGGTGATGGCTCACGGAGTTGGGCCCATGCCACTCAGCTCTCTGCTCTGGCCAGCCCAGTCCCAGCTATCGCGTGCAACTGGGAAGAAGCCTTAAGGACACACCTGCCTGTGTAATAAACAAGGACATTTCCCGGCATCAGTGCATCATTGTGCCACCTTGCTTCTTTTTTTTTTTTTTTTTTTTTGTCCTTGGTTAATATTTACCTGAAAAAAAGGAGCCTGCTTTTCTCCGCTGGCTGACGTCTTGTTGATCCAGGACTCCAGGGGCTTCCCTGTCTGAGGGCCCTGAGCTGCCGCAGGAAACTTGGCTGCCAGGGCTGGCCGCGTGGACACAGGCAGCTGCTGCTCCTGCTGTATGGCCCGCAGCTTCCTCAGTAACTCCTGCGGTGCCACCACCCGGGGGCTTCCGGCAGGGATGCTACATGGGGGCTGCGCTGGTCCAGGGAGCATGGCCCGTTCTTTCCCACGAGCTGGAGGGCCTGGTGTGGGAGGCGCGAGAGTGCCATTGACATGGTCCAGCTGCGGCTGAGCCATGCTCTCGGCTGCCGCGGTGACAGTCCGGCTGCAACTCGGGGTCACAGAGCCCGCTGCGGTGGGGGTGGGAGCGGGGGCTGTGGGACCAGGGTCACACTTGTCAGCGGCCCCCGGGGCACTGTGCAACTTCTCCAGCAGGCTCTGAGTTCTGGAAGCACTCTGTGGAGTAGGAGGAGCCCCAGGGTCCCGCAGAGAGCCTGGTGGGACAGCCAGGTGGGGGTTGCCCTCTTGACAGGGCCGGCTCTCGGGCAGCTCCGCCCACGGGTGGAGGTCCGCGCCCCTGACCATGAGTTTCTGAATGGCTGGACACAGCTGCTTCTCCACGGTGGGCGAGTGCCTTTTGGGCCCCTCGTAGGACAGGGAGCGTGCGACCCCTGGCCTCCCTGGAAGCTTCTTGTGCTGGGTCTGCTCCACGGTTTCTGAACTCGGGGCTCTGTCCTGCTTCCCAAACAGAGCAGTCAAGGATAGGTGTTGGGGTTCAGGATCTAAGGTCTGGAAGAAAAAAACGAAAGATCTAAACATGGATCCTTGTACAGGTGAGGGGAGAGGAGGGGAGGAGAGGGAACACAGCTCGTCGGTGACTTTGCTATTTACAAAGAATTGATGGAGAAGAGAGGGAGGCTTACGGCTTCAGAGTCTGCAGCCTCTTCCTTTGCAAAACGACAGTCTGCACAGCCCTCTCCTCCCACAGATACCCCACGCCACTGCCGGGGGGGATGTGGGCAGCATCTACCGCCGGTGGCCCAGCGTCTGCTCCTGGTGGGGAGACTGCAGTCCTAGGAGGCTCACAATCTCTCCAACAGGAAGCCTGTCTAACCCTCAAAGGTGTAAGAATGTTCTGAGAACCCATGGGCATAGCCTCTGAGCTCCTGGCAGCTTGGCGCGTAATATCTAACTTGTTTGTCCCGAGGACATTCCCGTAGCTTTTCAAACATCACCAGCTACATCCCACACACAGCAGCCCGGCCGACTACAGAGCTACTCCTTTCCTGCACTGTGCCAGGCCCTTCTCCCTCTTCCGGATGCCACCTGCACCGCCACACGTGCATCATGCAGAAGTCAGCAGTGCCTGGTTTTTCTACTAAAATATAAAGAACATTTTTATAAAAAGCCAACAATACAGAGAACGCTAAAAGAAGCCGGAAAAGCCTTTCTTTTTTTTTTTTTTAATTCAATACCAGACTTGCATGAGCTAACTTGATGTCTGTTGGCTTTGCGTTCGCTTTCACAATTGATTTCGATCGATTCCTTCATGAGCCCTTTGGTGAGGGACAACATGGGAACATGGCCCACGTGGATTAAATGCGTAGTCACTAACGGCACTGCAGTGGCCAACCCTTGCTCCTGCTGTACTACCCTGAAGAACATTCTGGGTTGCAAATGCAGTGTAAAGTCACCAAGTCCAAATGGGAGATTTTGAAGTCACTGCCTCAGACTGACAGCAGCTGTCCCCTCAGGGCCACACCATGGCCAGCAGGAAGGAGGTGCCAGAACGTGTGCTGCCCTGGCTGTGCGTCCCCGACTGGGAGACCAGTGGCCAGGACAAAGTGAACCCAAGGGCAACGTGCCTGTTGGCCCTGATGGCGCTAGCAATCATCTGTTATAGCTGCTAATACGTGAGCCCCTGTCCCGTTCAGCTCCACAAAGGACGGGGACCGAATGTAGCGACTACCAGCTGTGATCCTCTGGCACTGTCCTGGCAGGGCAGGCAACGTGGGACTCCTCTTCCGTCGGGCAGTGCCAGGTCTGGCCCCCCAGGTACACGGGCTAAGGCTCTGAGAGTCCCAGGGTAGGTGTGATGTGAGCACAGGACCCAGTACCTGACTGGGCTGAGGGATGCGCTGTTGGTGTTCACTGGGCTTCACTGGGATTGGTTTGATGAGGTTGGGGTTGTCATAGATGGCAGATGAACTGGTTATCTGTTTCGGTTCAGAACAGGTTTTACACTGAAATGGAGAAAAAAAAACACAGCTCAGTTTTTGGTGTTAAAAAAGCTTTTAGTCTTTTAAAAATAACACATTTTCTTGCTTGTTATCTAATTAGCAGGTGACTGGTTTTTGGAACAGATTTTCACGGAAAGCGAAAAATCCCTTCTATGTCTCTGACAAGAGCTGTTTTTGAGTGTAAGTCAAATTCAATTCTCCCTCAGCTGTACAATTCAGTGCTGCAAAATATTACCACCGACATCAGCCTGACCTAGAAACACTCAGAAATGTGGGTAATTGAAAGGCTATTTATATTCTTAGGCAACAGTTTAAAAATATTTAATCTAATGTTTTTCAATGATAACATAATTAAAGAAACAATTTCTTAAATAACACGTCTGGCCTCCAGTTGGGTTTTTCCCTGCATTAGCAGCTGACTTAACACTGAAGAGCCGCTGAGTGTATTTCATCAAAGCCGCGGAACCTTTTTGGTCTACAAACCAGAAAGTAAGGCTGACTCAAACCACTGATTTAAAAATTACTGACATCATCTTTATTTAATAAATGACTCCGTGCATAAACAGCATCATTCAAAGCTGAGTGTTCGGAGACACTCGACACAAATTAGAATTTCATAGAGAAAGAGACAAGAGACAAGCCTCATCATTTCAAATGCCGACTCATTATCACACATTAATCTAACCAACCATGCAATTGCTAACACAGTGGGCTTGAGACCAGAAAAAGCAGCAACACTGGGTGTCTGCTTTGCTGCTTCCAGTGAAACAATGCCGCTGCTTTCTCCATCATGAGGGGGCTTTGAAAACTTAGGGGAACATATACTGACAAAGGTTAACCTTAGAGGCTGGCACTGCATCACAGCAGGTGGAAGCTACAATCTGCAGCACCAGCATCCCATTTGGGTACAGGTTCGAGTCCTCGCTGCTCCATTTCTGATCCAGCTCCTGCTAATGTGCCTGGGAAAGCAGCGAAGGATGGCTCCAGTCCTTGAACCCCTGTATGCACATGGGAGACCCGGAGGAAACTCCTGGTTCCTGGCTACTGGACATTGTGGCCATCTGGAGAGTGAGGCAGCAACTGGAGGACTGATCTCTCTCCCTCTGTTCTCTTCCTCTCTATTTCCCTCTGTAACTCTACATTTCTAAAAAGAAATGATTACTTAAGTGTAAAAATTTTTTTGCAATCAATGCGATTTCCCATGACCATTTTGAAGACACCTCCTATACCTGGATTGCAAACATTTTTTTTTGCACCAAAATAAACTTTATTCCACTTCCATGAACCTTACAATGGGGGTTCTTTAAAGCACTGTGAGTTTCAACAATATAGTCAAGACCTTGAGCCAGAAAACATTTTGTACATACCTGACATTGAACCCAAGGTTTCCAGTGTGTGTTTTACAGTTGCTAGGATTTTTTTAAAAATATTTTTACTTGGAAGTCACAGTTATAGAGAAAGGGAGGAGAGAGAAAGAGTGAGTGAGCAAGAGAGAGTGCTCCTACACTCACTGGTTCACTCTCCAAATGGCTGCAATGGCCAGAGCTGGGCTGATCTGCAGCCAGGAGCTAAGAGCCCTCTGTGATTCTTCCATGTGGGTTCATGGTCCCAAGACCTTGGGCCCACCTCTGCTGCTTTCTTAGGCCACCAGAAGGGCGCTGGATCAGAAGCGGAGGAATGGGGACTAGAACTGATGCACATGTGGGGTGTCAGCACTGCAGGCAGATTAGCTCACCATACGGCCATGCCAGCTCTGAGCTGAGCTTTTTAATCCAAGGACACAGGAGTGAGGGACCTACCACCACCGTGTAGGTTTGTATGGTTAGCCAAAAAGATTTTCTTGCATGAATTCTGTTAATAGTCTAATTTTTTCGCACTAGCATTAAGTAGGTTGTGAAATGACTATAAATCATAAAATATTAGTGCCGGTTCTTCAGTGGTTATCAGCATGGCTGCATGGGCTCCAAGATGATGACCAAGATGATGCAAGAATTCAGCCTTAAGATGCAATCCTATCAGAATGTGAGCACGGAAAGCCCGTGACTTCCACCTGTTGCTAAAACAAAGTGGAGGCACGCTTATAAACAAACAAACAAACAAACAAAAAAGATTTATTTATTTTTATTGGAAAGACAGATTTACAGACAGAAGGAGAGACAGAAAGAAAGATCTTCTATCTGCCAGTCCACTCCTCAAGTAGCTGCAATGGCCAGTGCTCACCAATCTGAAGAAGCCTTGAATCAGGAGCTTCTTCCGAGCCTCCCACGTGGGTGCAGGGTCCCAAGGCTCTGGGTCATCCTCTAAAGCCAGGACACAAACTGGCACCCATATGGGATGCTGGTGCTTGCGAGATGAGGAGTTAGCCACTGAGCCATCATGCTGCATACTGGGCCTTTTTTTTTTTTTTTTTAAAGATTTATTTATTTATTTGAAAGGGAAAGAAAGATTGAGGGCAATGGTGGAGAGACAAAAGACAGACATTTTCCATCTGATAGTTCACTTGCTAAACAGCCACAGCAGCAGGGGCTGGATGAGGCTGAAGCAGGCCAGGAGGCTGGAGCTCCTGCTGGTTCTCCCAAGCAGGTGGCAGGGCCCAAGTACTCAGACCATCTTCTTCTGCTCTCTCAAGCTGTTAGCAGGGGGTTGGATGGGAAACAGAGCAGCCAGGGCTGGGCAGAAATATTCATGGTTTTATTTTTCCATTTTTCTTTTTAACTGACTCATAATAATTGGATATATTTATGGAAATATAATGTTTTGATGCACATAATGATTAGATCAGGATAATCAGAATATCCATCATGCTTACTTTTATCATTTCTTTGTAGCAAGGGCATTCAAAAATCTGTTACAGCTATTTTGGAATTTATAACCCATTAATGCTAACTGCACTCCTCTCTTCTACGTAACAGAATACCAGCCTCACTTCTCCCAACTGTAACTTCGAACCATTGGCCAAACTTCCTTAGGCTCCTCCCACCTCCTCTCCCCTGTCTCTGATAAGCATGGCTCGACTCTATGTCTTCCAGGTTAACTTTTTTTAGATTCCACACGAAGTGAGATGTAATATTTGCCCTTCTGTGTCTGGGTCACTTCATTCACCTTCATACCCTCCAGATCCATTCACGCTGTCACCTATGGGAGGATGCCATCCTTTTACTGGTCAGGGGAACTCAGTCTCCCTCATAGGCACCCCCACTGCCTCCCAAGGTGCGGACTGGCAGGAAGCGGCAATCAGAGGCTGGAGATCAAATCCAACTAATTGATGTGGCATGCTCGTATCCTAACCGGCATGTTGACCGCTAGGCCAAATATCTACTCCTTCTTTTTATCTTTCACGCTTGTTAGATTTGTCTCACTGAATGCAAAAGACTTAATACTTTCTTTCATAAGTCGCAGCTAGAACTAGAATAGAAGCGTCTGAGTAAGCATCTAAGTGTTGTCTTCAACCACAAGCTATAAAGCACTCCCTTCTGAACGCTGAGCCCAGTGACACAGTTCCGGCCCTGGGTCCCTCTTTTTGAGCTCGAGTCATTTTGTTGTCCATTTGCATCTCAACTAGAAACTGGATTGGGAGCAGGTAAAAGATGATGAAGTGCAAACTGACAGTTAATCCAACTTGTTTCTCAGAGGAGAAAGCACAAAATACTGCCTCCCCCCAACAACATTTTTTTTTTTCAGGCCATTTTATTCACTTCCTGCATAAAGCTGCATGTGCAGTCATTCGACTAAACCAGCATCACAGACCTATAGCTCAGAATTTGTTCTCTTGTTACTTCTTGGGAATTTCATAAATTTAAGAATTCTAAGCACGGTTAAATGTTAAGACTTGGGGTGGGGTCAGTGTCGTGATGCAGTGAGCAAGCCACCGCTAGTAATGCTAGAATTCCATACCTGAGCGACAGTTCAAGTCCCAGCCCTTCCACTCCCGAGCCGGCTCCCTGACAATGCGCCTGGCAGGGCGGTGGATGATAGTCCGACTTCCTGAGCACCCGTTGTCCGTGTGGGAGACTGGGAATGGAGTTCCTGGCTTCTACCTGGCCCACCCTTGGCTACACCTGCCACACAGGATGTGAACCAGCGGATGAAGATTCTCCTCTCTCTTCCTCCCCCACCTTGTTGCTTTGTCATTTACATCTTCAATCAATCAATCAGTTTTTTTTTTTTTAAAGTCTTGAAGCTGTAAAACCACCAGAGAAAAACAGAGGAGAGGTTCATGCCACTGATCTTGGCACTTAAGTTTTTGAGCATGAATCTCCAAGGACAGGTGGGCAAAGCCACAGCAGACAAATAGGATTACATCAACCCAAAAAACATCTGCACAGCAAAGAAAGAACTAATAACACAAGACAGCCTATGAAGTGGGGAAAGACATTCGCAGACATGCACCTGACAGGGGATTAATACTCCAAATACACCACAAGGATCAGTAGGAAAACAACCTGATTTTAAAAATTAGTGGAGTTGAACAGGCATTGGTCAAAAGGTGCTCAAGTAGCCAAATGATCCATAAAAATTCCCCAAATCACTAATCATCGGGGAAGTGTGAATCGAAGCTTTGAAATAGGGCCCAGCACAGTAGCCTAGTGGATAGGGTCTTCGCTCAGCACATGCTGGGATCCCATATGGGTGTCAGTTTGTGTCCTGGCTGCTCCACTTCCCATCCAGCTCCCTGTTTGTGGCTTGGGACAGCAATGCAGATGGCCCGAAGCCTTGGGACCCTGTACCCATGTAGGAGACCCAGAGGAGGCTCCTGGCTTCGGATTGGCTCAGCTCCTGCTGTTGTGGCTATTTGAGGAGTGGAAGATCTTTCTCTCTTTATTTCCTTTTCTCTGTCAATCTGACTTTCCAATAAAAAAATAAATCTTCAAAAAAAATTTAAAAAACCTTGAAACACCATCTCGTGCACATGAGGATGTCCACACCAAAAGGACAGGGCTGAGGATGCAGAGAGAGGGCATTCTGGTGCGCTGGTGGTGGGAAGGCAAGTCCTATGCTCACAG